AAAATTTATTGTGGGATTAAAGGGAACTCAGTACCTGTATCTGGGGTCATTAATGATCATTTTCATGGCCTGCTCCCAGGAAGCATTGGATGGAACCCGCTGTGAAAACAGGAAATTAGGGATTAATTAAACCTGCAATTAACATCCAAACAAGGAAGAAGAATTCCTTCAGAACAGCCACGGGGGAAAAAAAAAAGAAAAAAATTCATTTATTTTGAAGCTAAACCAACTTTTCACTGCAATGTTCTTGTCCTTTATTTCCTCGAGAGTGAGGAATTCTAACCCCAAAACAGCAAACAAAACCTAAAATAGAAATAAAAGCAGGTTTGATGCTTCAATAAAACTTGAATAATTGGTCATTAAAATATGAATAATTGGCCCAAATACCTTTTCTTTTAACAGTTCTTTAAATGCCTGTTTGGCCTCTTCCTTTGTGTTCCATGTGTAAGTTTTTTTCACAGGTTGGGCATCCTCATCCTCCTTCTTTGCAGCAGCACTAAAACAAAAACAACTTTATTAATTCACTTTTTTTTTTTTTTTCTAAGTTAGAAGCACTGAAAAGTCAAAAACCACCACAAAAAAAAAAGTTTATTAAATAGGAACTCCAAAAAAAATAAATATTCTAATAATTCATACAAGGCTTTTCCTTCCAGGCACCACAGCTGGTGAAAAATTATTTAGGCAAAGAATTTCCCTCCTGCTGAAGTTATTCAGAAATTATTCCTAAAAATATAATGTTGAAACTCAGCAGGAATATTAATATTTTATATAAAAATATAAAGATAAGTGCCTAAAAATGAGCTGCTTCTCCTTAATTATATCCTGCTGTCTAAAATCCCCCACAGCATTTCTTTTTGAATAACAGAAATCCTAAGTTATAATTTTCTACATAAAAGATTTTTCATTATTCATTTAAAAAAAAAAAAAAAAAGGAATGATGGCTGGAACAGATAAAAATCCCTTCAGTATTTTATTTTTTTCCAGTGATAACCAATGGCACAGAGAATAAAGAGGGAAATGTCTCATGGTAATGTGGGAAATAAATAATGACAGATTTGGGGAAATCCATGGAAAAGGAGCACAAATAGGGAAGTGTTTAATGGCAATATTTGAAATAAATAATTACAGATTTTGGGAAATCCATGGAATATTCCTGGAGAATAAATAGGGAAGTGTTTCATGGTAATATTTGAAATAAATAATGACAGATTTTGGGAAATCCATGGAATGTTGCTGTCACTGATGCTGCTGAGGAATGAAAATGGCAGCAAAGGCAGGAGGATCAGGAATGATCATGGGATCATGGGATGGGATGGGATGGGACAAATCCCATCCCAATCCATGGCAGGGTCACCTCCCACTGTCCCAAACCTGGCCTGGGACACTCCCAGGGATCCAGGGACAGCCACAGCAAATCTGGGAATTCCAGCCCAGGACTCAATGTGCATCCTTTCAATAAACACCAGTTTTATTCCATTTTCTCTGTTTAGTCTTTGCCCCAGGTCACAATGGGAATGATTTCCCCCAATATCCCATCCCAATCCCCCTCCCTGTGTCAGGACAGATAAAGTCTGACCAAAGGTCTCAGAGATGTGTGAGCAAAACAGAGAATCTTTGGATGTAGAACTGGAAGAAGGAATAGAAATGAAAGC